GGTACACTGAGGAGTAACTATGTCATTTGAAATTAAGACAATTATAAGGCAAAGGTGCATCCTGTATTTATTCTTGTTCTTGCTCATCATGGATTATAATCAATGGCCTCGTGTGATGTAAAAATAATCAATATGGTTGAAGGTGGACTCATTCAAGATTATTCAATCTAGATTTCGCTATCGATATCGCTCTTCTACATGAAAATGCTGAAGGACTTCAAGCATGTGTAAATTAAGTTAAAGATTCAAATATTTGGAAGTACAATAAGCCAAAGATGACACCAAGGATATAAGAATAAGGATCAGCTAAGTGAACCAGCCTCCGGTAAACTTAGGAACATTTGGAAACTTAATACTGTATCCTTCCATAAAAAATTAAGCGTTTACTCAGCCATCGTTGTAGCCATAGCAACCTACGGCAGTAAACCTGGCAACTGAAGAAAACGGCTGCTCAGACATTAGACGTGTTTCATCATAAGAGCTTGTGGAGAATATTAGGAGTGAGCCATGAGGAAAGAAAAATGAGTAATGAAGTCAGAAGCGAGCTATTGTGATTATCTCTATCACAAATAATTTGTAAGAGAAGATATCAATGGCTAGGGCATCTGTATGAGTGGATCATAACTGATTACTAATTCGACATGCATCTGACAAAGTGGGTCTTTGCCCACGAAAGCTTATGCTCCAATACATCTGTTAGACTATAAGGTGCCACAGGACTCCTTGTCGCTTTTGCAGAGCCAGACTAACACAGCTACCCCTCTGATACTTGACTACAAATTATGGCTCTCAAGTGAAAGCCAGAAAATCCAATAAAAAAGAGGGTAGATCTAGGATGACTTGGAAGTGTATTATTATCAACAACATAGAGAAATCGTATTTGAAATAGGAGGACTTAGGCCACATGGCAGCTCAATGTGCTGAAAAGTATGGGATGGACTAAGGTCTAAGATGTACTGCTGTAACTCAAATCCAGGTTTCAATGCTGGCTGTTCAAGATCCATTTTATACATTTTCTCGTTTGAACAGCATGGAGACAAACAGCACCAAGATGAACGGAACAAACAGTACAAGGGAATGTTACTAAGCAGCTTATGTCATTAGAGTAAAGAACATTTATTTTCAAAACACTGAGAGTATGTCTACACTACCCCGCTAGTTCGAACTAGCGGGGTAATGTAGGCATACCGCACTTGCAAATGAAGCCCGGGATTTGAATTTCCCGGACTTCATTTGCATAAGCGGGGAGCCGCCATTTTTAAATGCCGGCTTGTTCGAACCCTGTGCCACGCGGCTACACGGGTTTTTGATTTCCCGGGTTTTTTTTTGGATAGGCGGGGACCCGCCATTTTTAAAACCCCGCTGGTTCGAACCCCGTGCAGCGCGGCTACATGGGGCATGAACTAGGTAGTTCGAACTAGGCTTCCTACCTAGTTCGTGCCCCGTGTAGCCGCGCTGCACCGGGTTTGAACCAGCGGGGTTTTAAAAATGGCAGCTCCCCGCTTATGCAAATGAAGCCCGGGAAATTCAAATCCCGGGCTTCATTTGCAAGTGTGGTATGCCTACATTACCCTCCTAGTTCGAACTAGGAGGATAGTGTAGACATACCCTGATTTAGCTATGTTTTCACATAACCAAGACAGTTACAGATGGGAAACTGGTCAAGAAAAAAAATCTCCATTTCAAGAAGTAATCAACCACATGGGACTGTTTGAGAACTGTCGACCTATATCATTGCCAACAAGAGCAAGTTGAAATACTCTAAAATTAATCAGAAAAAGAAACGCATTTTTAAATGCCAACAATCAAAATTTTGCAGTTCCCTCCCACTATTACTGTCAGCCCTTTGTTTCTGTGACCAGCTCTAATAATGCAAACTTTGTCTCAGTAAACATAGAACTGTTATGAAGTGGAAGACTGTGTTCGCTCCGTTCTTTCTGTTATATTGCATGTGATTTCTACTGTCCGGTACTGTTCTCTAGTAACTCTGTGTGTGTGCACCTCAGTTTCCCTGACATTGCACTGGTGCCTGGATGGGGATGGCAATTTTGGGTATGTGTCTCATTGAAGGGAGGCCGCCCAGGCCAGCACATTCACAATTTTCCAGGCACTCTGTATCACGAGTCTGGGAAGGGGGTGCAAACAGGTGACACTTTTTACCCAGGAACCTAGACAAAGGAGGAGGTGGGGCTGTCTGTAAGGCTCGGTCCAGTTGCTAAGGTTGTGAGTTATTCTTGGCTGGCTTAGGATACAGGAAAGGTGCTCTGGCTCTGGGCCCCCCTTTCCGCAAGATGGATTGCACTGGCTGCTTCTGGTTCTTGTGCTATGCTGTATCCCTGGGAACTACTAAACCTTCTGTTCTATCTGCTGGCTGAGAACTGCATCTGGCTGTGGATGGGAGAGCAGGGCCCAATGACTCCTCACATCTCAGTGAAGGAGCTCAAAGGCAAATCTCTTCAATAACATACCCCGAACCCACCCAGTTCCTTGAAATCACTGCCATCACTGGCTCTGTCTTAGTTCACCTACAAGGGTGAATTTTGATAACTGTTCCAAGCAGGTCATCAGAAATCTTGAAAAAGTAACAGCTCCTGTGCCAAAACCAGACATGGACACTTAGAAACGGTGCTTGAAAAGAGGCAACAGGGTAGAGTAACATGCTGTTGAACTTGTATAAATAACCTATAATTTTTTAACTAAAACTGTTTCCTAAGCATTTCTTAAGATGCACTTTTAGATGCTTTTCACTATTTAGAGCTGATCTTTTTCTGCACTTCCACTGGGAGTTGTTGGAGTGGCACAAAAGTAAGAAGGCTATTTTAGGGTGGTTTTTTTTTCCAAAAATATAATCAAGTAATTCCATGCAAAAGGCCACTTTTGCACTGTTTACTTCTAACTGGATGAAATACCGAATGGTGCTAGTGTTATATTGAATGTTATTGCCTACTTCCTACATGTAAGAAGCAGAAAGTATTTCTTGCTTCCACTTACAGCCTACAGGGAGTAAAAGTATGTGATCTTCATATACCAGCAGCAATGTGGGGAAAGGAAGCCACCTTTAATAAAACCATGAGATGTGAGCAACAGAGATGCAAACTACAAACCTCAGCTCTGAACACTCCTGAAATCTAATATGAACATAACTATGGATTCCCCTCTGCAAATTGTGCTCAAGCAAAACCCTGGATGCAAACACCATCCAAACTTGTTAGAAGGTGAAGATCCAGTTCAAGAGGCAAACCTTGAGCCACACGTTACAAAAGCAAATATAAGTAAAGGATCCTGGGGGAAAAAATAACATGTGATCATGGAATTAAAAACAGAATCACAATGTGTATTCACAAGAGAAAGAAAACAAATCAAACATTTCCTAAATGTTGTGTGCTTTGCAACCTAATTAACGTTTCTAATATAGGTGAAGATCCAGTTCAAGAGGCAAACCTTGAGCCACACGTTACAAAAGCAAATATAAGTAAAGGATCCTGGGGGAAAAAATAACATGTGATCATGGAATTAAAAACAGAATCACAATGTGTATTCACAAGAGAAAGAAAACAAATCAAACATTTCCTAAATGTTGTGTGCTTTGCAACCTAATTAACGTTTCTAATATAGGATTTTTATTTTATATATATATATATATATATATATATA